CTCAGCTGCAGAGTTATCCACAGTCGTCTGAGCTCAGAAGCCAGTGTACCCCACACCCACTTCCTCTAGGGTGTGGTAATCAAGGCAATGAGGGAGATTTACTAAAACTGGTTCACTCAGAATCTGGTGCAGCAGTGCATGGTAGCCAATCAGCTTCCAACTTCAGCTTGTTTAACCATTTACCACCTGACCTATAGCACAGTGATGGCCAGATGGGACTTTCATAGATCTGAGCGGGCGTCATATGACATCCTCCCGTATCGTGCCTCGCATGCACCTGTAGCGCAATCTGTTACCGCCTGATCACTGTACTGGCCCGTTGCTGGTACCATATAACTGTTGTGAGCATCACAGCAGGTCACATGACAATTGTAAACAATGGATGGATGGCTTCCTTTCATGCCATCCATTGTATAAAATTGTGTTGCTAGCTGTGATTGGTCATAGTGATCATGTGGACCAATCACAGCCTATCTGTGCCATGTGATTAGCTGTGGCTAATCACAGCCAAGCAAAACAAAAAAAAACTGAATGAATCAATTTAATTCACTAAAATGCCATTCTCTGCTATAAGCAATCATAATGTTTAAAAAAAAAATACTGATCACTTCCCCAGAGCAGTACAATGCTACTATGGTAACATTATATTGTTCTGGTCACAGCGTGTAAAAAAAAAATAATTAAAAAAGGAAAAATGTAATAAAATTTTTTGTAATTTTTAAAAAAATGATACATTTTTTTTGTACTGTCATCAGTCAGTGTTTTTGATCATCACCTCACAAGTTCAATGATGGTGCTGTACTGCACTGGTCACAGTATGTAAAAAAAATCCTGAAAAATGTTTTTGTCACTTTTTAATTTTCAAAATAATTATGACAAAAAAAACTACAACTTCAAAAAACTCGCCATGCCCCCTACTAAATACCTTGGACTGTCTACTTCCAAAAAAAGGGTAATTTGGTGGATATCTGTACTGTCCTGACACTTTTGGGCCTCACAAAATTAGATGGCTGTCAGTATATCAGATATATATATATATATACCATAATTTGTGGACTCTATAACTTTATGAAGAACAATTATACATTTGCAAAATTTTATAACAGAAATTAAGAAAAATATGTTTTTTCAAAATGTTCGGTCTTTGTTAATCTGTTTAGCAAAAAATAAAAACCCCAGTGCTGATTAAATACCACCTAAAGAAAGCTCTAGTTGTGTGAACAAAATGATAAAAAATTTAGTCTGGGTAAAGTGTTGCATGACTGTGCAATTGTCAAAGTGCGAAAGCGCTGAAAGCTGAAAATTGGCAAGGGCAGGAAGGGGGTAAAAGTGGCCAGTACTGAAGTGGCTAATTAAGCTTTGGCAGTAAAACCTGGAAGCTGATTGGTTTCTATGTACTGCAACAAATTTTGCACTCCCCAGTTTTAGTAAATAACCCCCAATGCATTTTGGGGGTGGACCCCTTTTGTCAAGCCCAATATACCAGAAAGAGAATTGTATATATACAGTACTTGCATTATATGTGCCCCCAGGAATGGTATGTGTGACTCCCTTCCCTGTGATAGTGCTCATGTCTAGTTGCCAATTGCTAGGCCAAAGCATGTTCACATGCCCATGATAATGAGATCACAAATCCCCTTAGCATCTGAAGCAGTCGACACCAGGGAGCTGTGATAAGGGAGCACTGTCATGGTAAGTATAACTGGGTCATGGGGTCCCTTTACAAAGACACTGTCACTTTGCCAGCAAGCAAAACTTCCATAGGCAGTAGTACAGTATATTTGGCGATACACTATTAGTGTTGCTCCTCCATCTTAATCTGCATTTCATACTTAGCACTGTGTACACTGTTACAATATTGCAACAGTACTAGGTGGTATGATATGCATCAATATCTTAATATTTGTTTATATTTACTTGTTTAGCACTAAAATGTATTAGATCGTCCTGTGTTATTCATTAAATACATATTCTACAGTACTGAAACATACAAACTTGTATCTGCAGTCTACTGTAGTACAAATTGACATAATGCTGCACTCTACTGCATTATGTGTTATGGACTCTGTGCTGTTCTCTTCAGTATGCTACTTGTACAGTACTGCAGTGCACTGGATGCTACAGAAGTGAATCATCACTCTTTATTGATATAAACAGTAACTCCAATCCCATTACTCATCTAAGAATGTACGTTTATTAGGGCGGTAGTCTCACTACTATTCTGTCTTGCCATTGTTCTTCATGCATTTTCCACTGCAGTTGTTTTAAATTTTCTTTGTAGTACCTTACCTGTGCATACCAAGGGGGTGGTATTCATATTTATTATTGTAATATATTATAATAGCAATGTGTTCATTTTATAAGATTTATTTAGGTTTATATGTTTTTGAACTGATATTTATATCTGCTTTTTGTATTTTTAAACTTTATTTTACAAATAAACATTTATTACAGGATGCATTTATTACACATGATTCAAAAAACAGGCAGGTAAGGGGAATAGGGGAGGAATCACTCCCCTGACCCATTCAGCTGTTTGTGTACAGTATCTCACAGAAGTGAGTACACCCCTCACATTTTTGTAAATATTTTATTAATCTTTTCATGTGACAACACTGAAGAAATTACACTTTGCTACATTGTAAAGTAGTGAGTGTACAGCATGTATAACAGTGTAAATTTGCTGTCCCCTCAAAAATAACTCAACACACAGCCATTAATGTCTAAACTGCTGGCAACAAAAGTGAGTAAACCCCTAAGTGAAAATGTCAATTGGGCCCAAAGTGTATTTCGTGTAGCCACCATTATTTTCCAGCACTGCCTAACCCTCTTGGGTATGGAGTTCACCAGAGCTTCACAGGTTGCCACTGGAGTCCTCTTCCACTCCTCCATGACAACATCAAGGAGCTGGTGGATGTTAGAGACCTTGTGCTCCTCCCTTCTGTTTGAGGATGCCCCACAGATGCTCAGTAGAGTTTAGGTTTGGAGACATGTTTGGCCAGTCCATCACCTTTACCCTCAGCTTCTTTAGCAAGGCAGTGGTTGTCTTGGAGGTGTGTTTGGGGTCGTTATCATGTTGGAATACTGCCCTGCAGCTCAGTCTCTGCAGGGAGGGGATCATGCTTTGCTTCAGTATGTCACTGTACATGTTGGCATTCATGGTTCCCTCAATGAACTGTAGCTCCCCAGTGCCGGCAGCACTCATGGAGCCCCAGACCATGACACTCCCACCAACATGCTTGACTGTAGGCAAGACACACTTGTCTCTATACTCCTCACCTGTTGCCACCCACACACGCTTGACACCATCTGAACCAAATAAGTTTATCTTGGTCTCATCAGACCACAGGACATGGTTCCAGTAATCCATGTCCTTAGTCTGCTTGTCTTCAGCAAACTGTTTGCGGGCTTTCTTGTGCATCATCTTTAGACGTGGCATCCTTCTGGGATGACAGCCATGCTGACCAATTTGGTGCAGTGTGCAGCGTATGGTCTGAGCTCTGACAGGCTGACCCCCTACCCCTTCAACCTTTGCAGAAATGCTGGCAGCACTCATATGTCTATTTCCCAAAGACAACCTCTGGATATGATGCTGAGCACGTGCACTCAACTTCTTTGGTCGACCATGGCGAGGCCTGTTCTGAGTGGAACCTGTCCTGTTAAACCGCTGTATGGTCTTGGCCACCGTGCTGCAGCTCAGTTTCAGGGTCTTGACAATCTTCTTATAGCGTAGGCCATCTTTATGTAGAGCAACAATTCTTTTTTTCAGATCCTCAGAGAGTTCTTAGACATGAGGTGCCATGTTAAACTTCCAGTGACCAGTATAAGAGTGAGAGCGATAACACCAAATTTAACACACCTGCTCCCCATTCACACCTGAGACCTTGTAACACTAATGAGTGACATGACACTGGGGAGGGAAAAATTTGGACATTTTCACTTAGGGGTGTACTCCCTTTGGTTGCCAGCAGTTTAGACATTAATGGCTGTGTGTTGCGTTATTTTGAGGGACAGCAAATTTACACTGTTATACAAGCTGTACACTCACTACTTTACAATGTAGCAAAGTGTCATTTCTTTGGTGTTGTCACATGAAAAGTTATAATAAAATATTTATAAAAATGTGACGGGTGTACTTCTGTGAGATACTGTAAATGTCAGCTTGAACTGTTGAAAGCAGGCTTTTTTTTTAAAGAGCAGCTGAGAATAGCCTGGTAAATATGTAAAAATAGTCTCATTGCTTTACCTGCTGAATGAAAATGGAAATACAGTATATTATTTATACTATATTTAATTTTTATTTGACAGAAAAGAACAGATATTTAAAAGTAATATTTTTCCATTCTGACCAAAACAAATATATAAATAAGCAAATAAGGTATTTATAGAAGGACTATGATGCACTAAATTTGTGAATGCTTGAGTTGCTGTAGCCAAGTGACACCATTAGAAAGTCGAAGAAACAATTGTTCACATTTTTCCATGTCCTTGTCCCATGTTGGAAATGAGAATGCCTAAAATGGTACAAAAATTCTTGAACGACAGAGGACAACTTCCCACGTACATAGCTACAATCTATTCCTAGTCTATGATTGCACTTTATCCAATCATGTGCAGACTTGCTCATTCAATTTTTATAGAATGAAGACTGTACTAATTAACTGAAAATGGCAGGTCATGATAACTAATGAGATTTTCCATTATGTCCCTTCGGAAATTTTCTCCTGAACAGTCCATATCGGCTCTTGAAAGCAGTGTACTAATGAACACAAAATGGAATGAGCATTTAAAATATGGATATTTTCACCCAATTTTCTAATGATGTGTAGGCTTGAAGTAGGTCTCATCCTAGAACTAGGCAATGAATAAGTGATGTGCTTCTGAAGTATAAGTATTTGTATTGGTTGTATATTTTATCTTACACTGTACCTTGTGCTATTACTCATACTTGCTTTTTTTAGTGTTCTGTGGTATTGACCAACATACTGATCTATGTGCAGGAGAATCTGTACCGGAGTATCAAATGGCATTTCAGGCTGAAGCTGGCAATCACCCTACATTTGAAGACATGCAAGTATTGGTGTCAAGAGAGAAGCAAAGGCCTAAATTTCCAGAGGCATGGAAAGAGAACAGCCTGGTGAGTTCAGATATGGGAATAGCTTTTTCTTGTGCGCATGCTTATTTAGCACATGACCATATACTAAAGGAGGTAGACAGCCATGTCACCATTTTTCACAACTAGAAATGTTCGGCATTTGATGCAAAATCCATTCTTTTTAACATAGCAATGGATTTGCATGGAAATATGTCCTCAACCTACTTACTATGTCGATTTTAGCTTTTTGTTATAGTTCTAAAGTACAAAGTTAAGCAAGGCAAAATGCAACTTCTCTAGTGATTTGTACAAGGATGACTAGATATCTTCCAGCCCGTTGTCCTTAGGAGTGAAGGAGATATTTGCCATGTCTGGGCAGCCTGGCCATATTTTAAATAATTTTAGAATCTGTAAACAGCTTTTTTAATACAATTTACCAACACTGGGGTGAAAATCCTTTGGTAAAATTTCATGATGGATTTCTATCCATGGTAGCCCACTGAGTTATGGTAATTTCATAAACAGAAGCACTTCAAAAACTGATAGATTGCTGTAGTCAGCTGTCCAGCTTCATTTCCTGTAGTCTGGGTCCAATTAAAAATCAAGTCACGAATATTACAGTGACTGATAAGTTTCTGACAGCCTGGCCATATTAAATAATTTTAGAATCTGTAACAGTTAATACAATTTACAACGGGGGTGAAAAAGGAAAATAGGATTTCTATCCATGGTAGCCACTGAGTTAGGTAATTTCAATAAACAGCATTCAAAAACTGATAGATTGCTGTAGGTCAGCTGTCCAGCTTTCATTTCCAGTCTGGCATGAAAAGATTTCTGACAGACTATAGCGCCTTCATGTTCCATTGTGGTGGATTATTGCACTAATGTGTGGTATTTTGACCTTTAAAGCAGTAGTAAACCGCATTAAAAAAAAAAAAACAAAAAGAAAAAAAAACCCTGCAAGCTCAAGACATAATGTGCTAGTATGCATTGCATACTAGCACATTATGAAGGACTTACCTTGAAATGAAGCCCTCCAGGGGATCACTGTCACAACTCCCCAGGGTTTCCATCTTCACCCGGTCTTCACCCCTCGTGGGTTCACAAGCTCTGGCCGGCTAATTGGGTGAGCCACGATGACGTCACTCCCACACATGCGCGCGGGACGTCCTGGGCCACAGTACAGTGCTCCGAAGGAACAGCACAGCTTTCAAAAAGGGCTAATATATCCTAAATGGTTTATGTTTAGGATATATTAATTTTACCTACAGGTAAGCTTTACTATAAGCTTACCTTTACATAATATTATTAAAGAAGAGTTTACTACCACTTTAATGTTTCTTCTCACCTGTTTTAACCCCTAAAAAAGCATGCAGTTGCTGCACAGCCCTTTTCAGACTCCATATACGATGGGGAGGGAGATACTTTTTGCTATGCCGCAGTGCAAAGTACACATGTTCACCACTGTCCACTGCCTTTGCAGCTTAAGGGATAGCAGTTGGGGGGTGGTAAAAACATAGTTGAACTGCATGTTTTAAGCGCCCCCCCCAACCACAAATGTAAACATAGCTGTAGGGCTTGTTCACATGTGCAGTCACGGGGTGGTAAAACTAGGCAGTTGAGTTGCAGTTTTATTGCTTTCCCCCACCCCCCTACCTCCCATGTGAAAACATGCAGTATGCAGTCACTCAGGTCTGTACACATGCTACATCCACAGAAAAAAGTAAACAGCATAGGTGTTACTGCCACCAAGCGCACACTGTGCAAGCCTATGGGACCATGTTGCAACTGCCTCGCAAGTGTGTATAATGCGGCATGGTGGTGTGGCATTGCGGCACAGTGGTGTGGCATTTACAGGGTTAGGTCAGGCATGAGGGAGTGACATATCTCCTTCTCACCACCTGTCAACTGCCTATGAAAAGTGATTACTTTTCAGAGGGGCGCCCTATTCCAATGGTACATCCACTTGATGGCAAATTATTAAAGAGGCACCCTCAAGTGGATTCTACATACCTCTCCACAAAGAATGCATCTGATAATGAGACAATGTAACATGGCAAGAACATTAACTATTAAATACTTAGGTCAGTTGCTGTATGTATTAAACTACAGAGCTTTCTGAATGCAAGAAGAAGCTTAGCCCTAGTTATTCCTTTAGATACTATAACAAATTATTAATTTTCTCCACAGGCTGTAAGATCACTCAAAGAAACAATTGATGATTGCTGGGATCAGGATGCAGAAGCCAGGCTTACAGCCCAGTGTGCAGAGGAGAGAATGGCTGAGTTAATGATGATCTGGGAAAGGAATAAGTCAGTAAGCCCAACCATCAACCCAACCTCTACAGCTGTGCAGAATGAGCGGTATGTGCACAGCAATAAGAGCTGGTCTGAAAAAGATCAGTATCATATATTACTATGGTTGAAAAGTCCCAAAGAATGACTTATTGACTGTGGTTTGCTGAATGTATGTGGATTCTATCACAACATGTTGAGAGTGTTTCCTTCAAAACAAGAAGGGTTGATGAAAGGATAGATACACTAAATAGGTAGACAGAGAACCTGATACGTTTTTTTTTTTGTTTCTGTGTAGAATGGCTGCATTTACATTTTTGTTGTTTAATAATAATTTTTTTTTAATTCTTTTGTCTCTGAAGCAATCTGTCACAAAGTCGACGGGTCGCAAAAATTGGTCCATACCCTGATTATTCATCATCATCTTATATTGAAGATTCTGTGCACAACCCTGACAGTATAGTAAAGAACATCTCATCTGAGAACTCCATGTCCAGCACTCCCCTTACTACCAGTGAGAAGAATCGGAACTCTATTAACTATGAGCGCCAGCAGGCTCAGGCACGTCTCCCTAGCCCAGAGACCAGTGTAACCAGCTTGTCAACCAACACTACCACTACCAACACTACAGGGCTAACACCAAGCACTGGTATGACCACAATATCTGAGGTCCAGTACTCAGATGAAACTATGCATGGCATACAGCCTACTGGGCCCACTCCTGTTTGTCTGCAGCTCACAGAGGAAGACCTAGAGACCAATAAGCTGGACCCAAAAGAAGTTGATAAGAACCTAAAGGAAAGCTCAGATGAAAACCTTATGGAACATTCCCTGAAACAGTTCAGTGGGTCTGACCCACTGGGCAGCACCAGCTCCAACTTATTTTACCCACTAATTAAGCTGGCAGTGGAATCCACAGGGCAGCAGGATTTTACCCAAGTGGGAAATGGCCAAGCTTGCTTAGTACAAGACATACACCCTGCACAACACTATCCTCTTCCTAAGCAACAAAACCTTCCCAAAAGACCCACCACCCTTCAGCTAAATACTAAATCCTCTGGCAAAGAGTCTAGGCTTAAATTTGGCAGCAAGCACAAATCTAACTTGAAGCATGTTGAGACAGGAGTGGCCAAAATGAACACAGTGAGTGCTGCAGAACCCCATGTGGTGACAGTAACCACAGCTGCCGGTAGGACAGGTTATGTGAACTCTCAGGGGCCCTCAAGCCAGCATTCAAATACAGTCTTAGGTCCCAGTACCAACTCCGTAGCCCAAAGAGCACAGGAGATGCTACAAAACCAATTCAGAGGTGAGGACAGCCGTCTGAACATCAACTCTAGTCCAGATGAGAATGAGCCACTGCTGAGGAGAGAACAACAAGCTGGGCAAGATGAGTCTGTACTTGACCGACTAGTGGAAAGGAGGGATCGGCCACAGGAGACCAGCAGGGTAAACTCAAATAACAATAACAACAGCAGCCAGTGTGTACAGCAAGATCCAGGAGCACAGGTTCCTTTTGTAGAACATAGACAACGCCAGACAAGGAGAGCACAGAGACCTAACTCCCTGGACTTGTCCACCTCCAGTATTATGGATAACTGCAGCACACAATGTAAGCCTACATCCTTTAATATTGCAAATCTAGTTACAGTATTATCTGAGTAACTGTATTTGTGTGATAATTATAATCTGCTGTATTACATGCAGTTAGTTAAGAATGTCCATATCACTGCTGAGATCTGAACCATCAACTTTAATTTGCTGTCCAATTCCCTGAATAATAATCAGTCATTTTGGTAAATAAAGTAAACTTCCAAGCAATAAGGAATCAATTAGCTATATTTCATCCAAACTGGTGGCCTAGATATAGATCCCAAAATGCCACCATCATTTAAATGTCTCAAAAGAAGAACACTTTTTTCACTGCAAAAATATTTTCTGTGCTACACAAATAATATTATATTGGGACGCTGGTGTCCATTGGCTCAAGTTGCTTTGACTACATATAAGAGCTCACAGTATAAACATTAATGCATATGAGTATAGAACTAAGTAATCTAGTGGCCCACATTTACAGCTAGGAAATTACAACATAGAGATCCACATTTTTTGTTGATGTGTTAGGAGTCAAAGATTGTTTCTGTGATATTGATCACCCAGGAGATATATAAGCAGATAGTGGAAAACAAATATTCTTTAACACAGTAACTTGTAATGTTTTTTGTTAATGAAGGTGCAGTGTGCTGCAAGGTTGTCACATTTTGGACTTTCAGCAATAAAACAATTTAGTGTGATTCCTACAATTGTTTTGCAAATAATTATTTACTGAATAGTTGCTATTGGTGCTGGACTCTGGTAGTGTTTGAAAGGGAACTGGTAGCATCTGGTGCTGATAAGGTAAGTCTGGATTTGCAGAGTTAAGGTTAGGATTTACATCAGAGTTAAGGGAGTTAAGAGTTTAATTAAGTTTAAAGGACACCTTACCTGATATAAATATGGAGGCTGCCATTACTGAGATCTCATTCTGCAAATGCTAGCTGCCTGGCTATTGAGTTGCTCCCCCTTGTTTCAATACCTTTAATCACTAATCCAAAATAGGTTTTCAGAAAGGGACTTCTGACTTTCCTAATTTGGATACTTGTTGCAGGTTAGTGCCTGAGAAAGTACTGAAGCCAGAGGGTCAGAATACCAGCCAGACAGCTAGCATTTTTATGGCTAAGTCAGCAATGACAACTACCCTGTTTCTTTTGGTCAATATTTAAGGGTAATATGTTTTCATTTCAGGGTTAAGGTAAATTTAAGTTTTAAGACTTAGGTGAAGTGTTAAGGTCTATGGGGTTGATTTATTAAAACTAGAGAGTGTAAAATCTGGTGCAGCTCTGCATGGTAGTCAATCAGCATCTAAGTTCAGCTTGTTCAGTTAAGCTTTGACAACAACCTGGAAGCTGATTGGTTTCTTTTTTCTTTTTTTTTTAATTCCATTTTAAATACATTTCATCATCACATTATATATATAAAAATACAATATAATATCCAACATTTCTACTTTATTTGCTCAGCTGATTGATTTCTATGCAGAGTTGCATTAGATTTTACAATCTCCCGTTTTAGTAAATCGGCCCCTATATTTCAGCTTTAGGTTAAGTGTCAGGGGAAAGGTGAGAGTTCGGAAAATTATTTGGGGTTTGATTATGTTTAGACCTGAAAACCCTGCGCTGTGGGGTAAAGCCTGTCTAAGAATTTGTATGATCACCAGACATTCTTTGTATGTACAATCCTTTTATAATATTGGCTTCTATCTGTTTCATACAATGAGAGTAAAGCAAGTAAAGCAGTTTTTTTCAATGCATAAAAAATAGAATTGCCAAAAGTACCAGGGACGAATAAACACAAACCTGTCCAAAGACATAAAATTAGTACAAACTGACACAAATAGAAATGTGTCCACAGAGACACAGGCAGTGCCATACTGACACAAAAAGGTATATGTCCACACGGGCACAATCTGTACCATACTGACACAACTAAACCATGTCTGCAGAAACACAGTCAGTACCAAGTGATGCAACAAGGAACATGTTCACAGATACATAAACAATACCACAGTAATACAAAAATTGGGTCAACAGAAGCACAATCAGTATGGCATTGACACAACCAAGAATGTATTTGCAGAGAGTCAAACAATACCAACACAACCAGTAACGTGTTTACAGAGGCACAATCAATATTATAGTGACATAACTAAGAATGTGACCACAGTATTATAGTGACTCAACTAGAAACACATTTTTATCCACCTACTTTAATTCAGCATTTGTTTGAACTAGTATGCAGGAGTGTGAGGGTTTGCCTGACAGGATCTGTAAGGCTCGGTTCAAACTAGCGGATTCCAAAGTTGCGTGATTTTAGTGCAACTTTGGAATGCGACTTTGAAGAGATTTGGATAAGACTTTTACACTTTCTGGTACTAAAGCCATGTCAAAGTTGGATCACCTTATCCGAAGTTGCAGCAACTTCAGTAGTATCCATTGGAATGGCTCTCATAGAGATACATGGACTACAACGTTGGGTCTCACAAGTCGGATCCTAAGTCACAGGAGTGTGAACCATATAAATAGTAGTAGCCAGCATTAATTTAAAGTGACTTGTGTGGTCGTGTGCTCCCCTGGTGCTCTAGGCAACAGCCTATGTGGTTTAGTGAGAAATCTGGCCCTGGTATATAGATTGATTGAGCGCCAAACCCAAGTTCACTACCCCTGAACCCAGTACCACTGTGTATCTTTCTCGTCTCACCTGTACATGCCTATAAACACAGAGGAGAGAAGGATGAAGTAGGAATTTCAAGTACTTCTAGTATATTGCAGTCAGTAAGGAGCACTTTGTAGAAAATAGAATTGCAGTATGTTCCCATGGTCCTGGGACCTTATGACAATTGTGACTTCTGTGGTCTCTTTTCCTATGATATCCTATATATCTTCCTTACATTAGGTGAAAATAATGCTGTGAATATTTTATTGCCAAGATGATTCATCATCTATTGAAAACTATTTTGTTATTTAGGTGATACGCTATCAGACAGTCGGGCTGGCTCAGGCGAGAAGATAAAGAAGAGAGTAAAGACACCATACTCCCTGAAACGATGGCGCCCCTCCACATGGGCAATCCCCACTGAGCGTCAGGACTGTGAGGTCAACAACAATGGAGGCGATGACACCTTCAGCCACTCAAAGTCGAGCACAGCTGTTTACCTTATAGATGGGGGCACCACCACTGCTGCCCTTTCTAAAGATGCCAGGATGAGCTGCTTGTAAATGATCCAATCATCTCTTTTTTATTATTAATATTTTTATTATTATTATTTTCAAGTTTTTTTGAATGCCTCCAAAACCTAATTTTTTTTTATCATCTAGTGAGCAGAAGACGTGGAAAATCATATTTCTATCATCAAATCTTTGTACAGGACTTGCAATAACACTCATGGTTATGGCAGGGCCAGTAATCCAGTAGAGGTTCGTGTCTTGTCCTTCCACGACCATGGGAGTTACATAGAATTCAGCTATGCAGAGTAAACACACAAAATACAGTTTATGCTTCCTTGTTGTGTTTTTTTTTGTTTTTTTTTTACATTTTGGGTTTTTTGTTTGTTTGATTTTCATTTTTAAGGTAGTTCTGCACCTTCTACATATTGTTTTGTGAGTCCCAAGTCTGCTCATGTTTCATGTATATGTAAAAAGAAAAAACGAAGAAACAGACCACAGAAAGTGGAACACCTCTGAAAATTTCTTTTGTTAAAACAATGGAGAAGAAATTGCTGACCATTGTGGTCTCTAAAAATTCTGCAAAAACTGTCAGACAGGATTAACTGCAGCAGTGTCTTGTGCACGCAAATTTTGATTTTTATGCTGTGTCTAGTCTGTATGTTGATGTGTTAAAGAAGCGCTTGTTCAAGGACAAATACACCAAGAATTGCTTATTTCCTGCCTTTTATTTTAGTAGCAAACAGACTTTGCACTTTTAGGTAAAAGCACTGCAAGTCATATTGAAAATGGCTGTCTCACAGGAAGTTTCCATTCACAATTCCAAACCCCTAAACTGTGAATCAGTTTACTCCAAAGCTTGGACAGATTTCAGCCCTTGATTCATGGGGCTTTAATCTTTTCAGCTACTGGAGAATACAGAGCCACAGCATGATGAACTGACTGATGAACTGAGAGGGGTTTATGTAAAATGTTTACTTTCACCAGGCTTATTTGCGTATCGGACAACCATTCTTAGCTGATGACACTTGGAAGAAGAAGAAACAGGGGACACGTCTATTAAGGCTTTAAGGCGTATGTTAAAAAATAGATTAAAAGATTATATAAATATATATATAAAATATGTGATTATAACAAGAAAAGAGCTTATAAAAGTGATATTTTAGCCTATCTGTGCAAGAGTGAACACTTGTTAAGCAGAGTGGATTACCTTTGAATATCTGGCTTTTCATGTACTTGGTTGAAATGTGCAATGATATATTTTTTCCTCAATGCTTTACTGCAAAATACATTTCACTAACGCTAAAACTTTCTGTACTGTTTGTGATTTTTTTTTTATAGTTTTACCCTGAATAACTGCTACAAAATGTCCCCACGAGCTGCTTTTTGTATCTGAAAGCTGCCCGTTGCTGGTTATGTCCTGTGAATATGCTTTAACTTTGTATTTTTAATAAATATTGAATAAATGTATGCAAAATACAGAATTTAGGCTTGCCCCTTTAAAGAAGCAGTGTCACTTACAGTGCTTAAATAACATTAGGGAAATTAAACTGATCTCAGGCTCTCTGTGGACTTTGCTGTATAATCACATTGCCTGTTCATGACAGGTTTCCATAGACGTAGCCTTACCTCCCATGAGCACTAGCAGTATACAATCACAAGATGACAACCTCTTGGAGATACGTTGAGATATTGGCACTTAAACTTAAATCTTAGCAGAAACTGCTAATATAAGAGATCTGTCTCTCCGTAACATAGCCTTCAGTCCACCCAGACCAGAGTCAGATTCCAAATATGCACATTTGTATGCTGCTTTCATTGTGCCCTACCCTATAACCACAGAACCTTTATTTGCACAGTTTCATATATAAAAAAAAATAATATAAAAAGAAAATCTAATATTTGCTCTCTGAAAACCTATGCAGGAAAGACTTGAGATAATTTGAAAAATGTGTTAATTTTCTAATGTTCCCTCAAGCATCTCATCAGTCTAGGCCCATATGTTGCTTTTCTTCAAATCCATGACCTTAACCTGACAACAAGGTCTATTGGCCTTGTTTCTTCATTACTTTAATATTAAAATGCTAACTTAAAATGGTGAAAAACAATGTGCACAGTGTAGTGTAAATTATGATAGTCTGAGGACACTAAACTCCTCAAAAGCTAATTTTGTTTTTTGGACAATGTTACTAAGTAAAGGTCTGTGACTATGAGCTTTATATTGTTACATCGCTTAAACAATAAACAATATAGCGTAACCCAGAAATCAGCTATGGTGCAGTTGTCTTTTTGGACAAAACTTTTGAAAGCTGCTTTAGGATTGGTTGCTATGCACTTCATCTCCCCCCTCTCCTTTTTTCATTGCTTAGGCATAAACTATTATCTTTATTTAATTTGACTTTGATATAGAACATCAGCCAACTAATCTTTTTTTTTTTTCAATGAAAGGAGATTCCCTGTGTCCCTGTTGAAGACATTTTCTCTCATTTCCCTACTGGAGTGTTTTTTACCGCTCTGATAGTTTTCCATTCCCAGCTTCAGTGGGGGGCAGCGCAGTACGAAACGGACACTTCATTCATGGTGCTGTACAGCAGTGTAATGTGCTGCGCTGCTGTACAGTGCCATGAAATTCTATATGGTGTGCTGCGATAAAATGCATCATGCAGGGGCGGACTGACCATTTGGAAACTCGGGCACTGCCCGAGGACCCGGGGTCAGTAGGGGGCCCCATGAGATGCCCCTGGTAGCTTTTTCATAGGCGTTTTTGAGTCTGGGCAAGGACACAGGGGCCCCATGATCCCCTATTGCCCGGGGGCCCCATGAGTTGTCAGTCCGCCCCTGGCATCATGTCTGCATTTTATTGCGACACGCTGCATCGCAGCCCTAGGTTGCTTTGCAGTGTGAATGGGACACATAGGAAACAATTGTTTCCTGTGTGTCCTTACAGCGACAGACATTTGCAGTGAAACTTCTGTCACCGCACACTGTGTGAATTAACCCTGAATGCCCAACAATAAAAACAGATGTCCTTACCTATCTGCACCCAAAACTTGGCTGTATCTCCGCTATATTGTTAATTGTCATTTTAAAAGGGTAATTTTGCCTCTATAATAATGATAATGGTATATGGAATGCTGGATATAGACAATCACATGACATAAACACAAATTTAAAATAAAAAAAACATGGGTAATAAAGTTATGGAATTAGGTTAACTAGAAATTCCAGCAAAATAAACTCATTCAGGGTCCATTTACATTTTCCAGTGTGCTGCTGTAATCGCAATGCACATTAATACTCAGTACATGTGTTAGCACAATGCAGTGGTGTTCATTTTGAATGGCAACCCAATGCACTAAGACAATACAGCTCCAACGTACGTGTTGCAGTGAATCAAAACGTACAGACACACTACAACGCGTTGTGATAGCCTGTTGAAAAATGCTGCATGTCTGTTTTTTTGTCTGTTCTGGTGCGTTGAGGCATTTAGAACAGGCTACTCTAACACAACGCATGTTAAGGCATGACACAGCAAGTGTTAACGCAACACACTGGAATGGTAAAGTGTGAATGAGACCTCAATGAACTGCCAATACTAAATACAGGAAAAATTACAATTGTCTGGAAATCATCAAGTTCATTGCTGTACTGAATATGCGGTTGCAACATTTTAAACATTGGAAAAGGTGTTGAACACATTAGCTGTGATCAGGCAGTTTTTTTTGCAGCAGTGTCATTGAATGTAATCAAACATTTTTAGAACAAGAACAAATATTCTGGAAAGCTAATCTGTGCCCGCATGACTCTAAATAGTTAGCCTGAACAGAGTGTATATTTAAACTTTATAACAGGAACATTATATTCATGTCCAAGCATAATTAATTTGAGTATTCCAGTGTAAATGAGCTCTTAGCACCAAGGTATTTGTGACACTGCTCCTTTAAAGGTTTCTATCCATTTCATTCTTATATAAAATTTTTATGTCATTGGTAACCAGGACATTTTGACTTAATTATCACATTTTCATGTCATTGTGGCCTATTTGTTTACCTGATGCAAAGATCAATGATGTAATGTTCGCATAGCAACTAGAGATCAGCAATTAAGTGCTCTAGTGCACTAGTGAATACCTAAAGGGTTAGTTCATTTTAGTTCATTTTACCAAAAATTCTGCCTAAGCAGGTAAGGATACCTGTAGATAAAAAAAAACTGTGCAGCTTTGACTAGTTGGATAATGCTTTTGTCATAGGTGTAGGCCATTTATGTACCTCCCAAACTTTAGGCGAAAAAAAAAAAATGTATATGGCTTACATCTTTAGCAAAGGCATTATCCAACCTTAGTCATAGCTGTGCTTTTTTTTTTTTAATCTACAGGTGCCCTTTACGTACACAGGCAGTTTTTTTGGTAAAGGTGAACTAACCCTTTAAAGCTGATTAGTTGTTATGTAACATCACATATTCTATAAGCACTATTACATTAAACAAGCCTTATTGCATTGCATCCCATAGTCTATCTGTATGATGTACTAGTATATTATACTATATATTCTAGTATAGTATACTTTTATTTTTACCAACCCTCACCATTACGTGTAAAGAAATTTGTACAGTGTTACTTTATAACATACTGGTATAATATGCTACATTATTCTAGTATAGTATACTAGTATTCTATATATTTATTATCCACATTGTCTTTTTATTTTGTAAACATAATTTGCCATGGTATCACATCCACATACTAGTACAGAATGCTATATAGTATTCTGTTATAGTATATTATTCCAATTTAATTTATAAATATTTTAACCTAGAAACTACATGAGGATGGTCAGGGTCATGAACAAACACCAGTTTATCTCCTGCTGAACAGAAAAGACAGTTTAACCTTTATTCATTATTGTTCTTTTCCATAACCAATTGAAATAAATATCAATTAATAAGACAACTGCATTGTATTGTGTAACTTGTTTCAGAAGTGGGTGGCTTATTTAAACTGAATGTTTTGTGTTGAATGTATTTCTTCCCTCAGCAATTAGTACAGAAATACAAAC